GTGCAGGAGGAGCAGAGGAGGAGATGTGACTGATCGCTGCAGCAACTCGAGTCGAGCCGGCCCGCTGCTTCAGCCAAACCTGCTCTCACTGAAAGTCCCGCCCTGCTCTGCTCTGATTGGACAAAACGGCTCTGGACTTCGTCTGATTTGTTGAAGGCAGTGTCCGTTTAATCCTTATGTCAGGGTCCCGCTCAGGCGCACCGAACAACGATCCATTCACACCAGTGCCGCTGGATTATTTTTTATTTTTTTAAAGAAATTAGGTCACATTTGCGACCAAACTGGTMGCACTCTAGAGCCCTGCTAACTGTTGTTTTGACAGACAACCAGGTACAATCTTAGGTMCGCAAGGGAGCTTTATGACGTTACATCTGGTGCGTTTTTTCCTTTTTTGACCGCGCATGCGTACCTGCGACTGCTTATGTGCCACTATGTCTATAGTCTATAGCCTTTAATAAAAAGCCTAAATAATAAAATACACTGCATGGCCACCAAAATTTGCCACCAAAAAATAAAAGGTCACAATCTAATATTTGGTTGGACCGCCTTTGTCTTTGATTGTGGCACGCATTTGCTGTGGCATTGATTTGATAAGCTGTAATGTCACAAGATTTATTTCCATCCAGTGTTGCATTYATCACCAAGATCTTACATTGATGATGGTRGAGTCTGACCTTCTCCAGCACATCCCAAATATTCTCAATGGACTCTGTGGAGTCAATCCATGTGTGAAAATGATGTCTCATGYTCCCTGAAYCACTCTTTCACAATAAGAGCCCCATGAATCCTGTCATTGTCATCTTGGAATATGGCCATGCCAYCAGGTAGAAACAATCCATTGATGGAATAACCTGGTCATTCAGTATATTCARGTAGTCAGCTCAGCTGACCTCATTCTTTGAGCTCATACTGTTGCTGAACCTAGACCTGACCAACTGCAACAACCCCAGATCATAGCAATGCCCCAATAGGCTGGTACAGTAGGCACTAGGCATATGGGTGCATCACTTCGCCTGCCTTTCTTCTTACCCTGATGAACCAATCACTCTGGAATAAGGTATATCTGGACTCATCAGACCACATGACCTTCTTCCATTGCTCCAGAGTCCAAACTTTATGCTCCCTAGCAAAGTGAAGTCTTTTTTTCCAGTTAGCCAATGATTTGAAATTGTTTAAAACTCTGACGCTCGTATTATTACCAGAACCCCCTCCATTTGTCATTTACCTTAAGTCCGACAGCAATTACACTGGCTTCCCATTAAATATTGAATCATCTACAAGATCCTCCTCCTTTCATTTAAGGCTTTCCTCCACTTCCTCCCAACTCTTGTTCCTTCTGCTTGCCCCCAGCCTTTAGAACTCACTGCCTCAGGACTTTAGAAATTCAGTTTCCATAGCCATCTTCAAATCCCAACTCAAGACTTATCTGTTCAGCAAGGCATATATTATTGAACCATAAATCTCTGTAACTACCATTAATTTTACATTATCTCAAAGATGTTTTTTATTATTTATTGTTGGAGTATATTTCTTTTTACCATTTTATTTTGCTTTGTTAATTGATTTTATTGTTTCTATTGTGTTTACTGTTCCACTGTGATTTCATTATTGACCTTTGAAATGTGACGTTGGGAGTTTTGAAAGGCACCTGTAATAAATGCATTATTATTATTACTATTTGACCCTTCTCAAACAGACTGACATMTTTCCACAACCACGAGATTTGTCTTTCCACATGATTGTTTAAGAAACGAGAAGCACCTCTTTGCACCAGTTGGGGTTAAATAACTTGTTGCAGCTGAAAGATAATCACCTATGCAGTAATTATCAAATAGGAGGCTCATACCCATTTGCTTTGTTAAATCCAGGTGGCCACTTTTTTTGGCCAGGCAGTGTATTTCTTTAATAGCAATAAAGTGAAGATTAATGGTTAATGTGGTGGAACTAATACTTTTAGGTTTAAGCCAGTAATTCATGACATACCTTAATGACCTAGGTTTTCATGACATGCTGTTAGAATAGCAGATAGAATGATTAAAGTCAGAACAAGATTTGCTAACAACAGTCATTCTTAGATATCACTTGAGTTTATCTT